TGTCTGCCTCAGCCACTTTTCAGTGAGATGGATGAGGGTGGTCGACAGAGATTTATTAGCAGGTGACAAGTGATCTCCCTGGCATCTTGGAAAGTGCCTGAGAGGGCATGCTATGTACCTGGGAATAATATAACAATTCAGAAAACAAGGCAGCTAACAAAATCCAGAAAGTCCTGGCAGATTGGCTAAGATTTGGGAGCATATTAGTTAGAAAACTGTGCTGAATATGTTGGGGCAGAGGGGAGGGAGAGTTTCAGCTTCATTAGTGATTAAAGAAATGAGATTAAACAGCCAAGGGATGCTGAATTTTACCTCTCATACTGGGGGAGGAAAAGATAAAACCTAATCATATAGAATGTGCCATCCCCTGTATTGCAAGTGGGAATGCAAATTGGGCCACCCTTGTAAGAGATGATTGGGAAATACTTACCAACTGCCTTAAAAATGTACATTTTTGACCTAACAGCTCTACTTGTAGAATTTTATCTTAAGGTAATAATTTAAAGTATGCCAAATAATTTGGATAGAAGAAGAGTCAATATGATATTATTTATAATACCAAAAGAATGGAAACAGAAATAAATGTCTATCAATAAGGGACTGCTTAATAAGTTATACTAATCTATACAAAGGAAAACCATTATTAACATATTGATAACAGAAACAGCAAACTTTAAAGGAGTGTGCAGATCACAGGGCCTTTTTGGAAAAAAAAAATAGAACCATGACTGGAAGGGCATACGAGTGTTAACTCTGCTTAATGTGCAATGGCTGTGAATCAGTTTTATGTTCTGTTTTTTCATATTTTCTAAAGTATCTTCAATGAATATGTATTATATGAGTAAACATTTATTTTTAAGGAAAAAAACAAATCTCTTTCTTTCCCCTTAATGATAAAACGAGCATAGCCTCTGCCTCAAAGTTAGGGCAGTAGGCGAGTAGGCGAGAAGACTCATCGGGCTCTGTGACTTTTGTAATGGAATGTGAGTCTCACCACCTGGATGCCTGTACCCAAGCGTGAGCGTGGTTCCAGCCAACAACATGGAGTACACAGGTCTTAGGGTCTCACCAGGGAATTTAACTGAGAAGTGTTGTTACTCAGCGCTTGGCAAATGCCCATCCAAGAGAAGGGACATTCAAAGAAGACAGTCCAAGAGGCTTGCAACTCCTGTCGGTATGCTGAGTGTGGTATTACCGCACAGCAGGTAGATCATTAGCTCTGCAAAAACCTCGTTCAATGAGCGCTCCACAGAAATGCCTTTACTGAATTATGCTTTTGTGTTTTTCTCTTGACTTTTTTCTGGGCTTAAAATGAAGTGATCATAGGAAGACTACCTTGCCTATAAATCCTTTGCTGCAGATTTCTTTTACATTATATAGTATCTTTGTGTCCTGACCCCCCTTCCCCGACCCCGGATAAAATCCCTCCAGAGCAGTGGTGTTTAAACTGAGCTCCCAAGAGTTGCTGAGGGGGGCTGAGAGACCAACCCCCCCTTTCCACTAGAGAACTCTACTTTTACTTGTTCTACCAAAGGTGCCAGATATATGGACATTTCACTCTCCTCCAAAATGAACCCTCAGGAAAGAATTCCTCTTGTATTTGAACCCTTAAGAACTCTCTCGGATTACAAGGTATTGAACCAATTACTTTGAACTGCAGAGTACTATTTAGGAAAGACACAGTCTGATACCACCCCCCACCCCCCAGTCAAAGCTAGTTTGGGATGCAGATTTAAATCTCTGTTTCTGGAGGTATGACCTCACCACTGGAAGTTTCTGGATGCCATTGAAATAAGCTTTTTAAAGGGCATTTTTAAAAAGCAGTAGAATAAATGATAACATAAAGATCACAAATACATACTGATATTTGTTTCCCAGTACTGCTGTAACAAAGTACCACAAACTGAGTAGCTTAAAACACAGAAATGTATCATCTCAAGACTGAGGAGGCTAGAAATCTGATCAGGGTGTGGGCAAGGCCAGGCTCCCCTGAAACCTGCAGGGGAGGATCCTTCCTCGCCTCCTCTAGCTTCCCGTGTTTGTTGGCCGTCCTGGGCACTCCTCCGCTGGTAGATGCTTTGTTTCAATCGCTGCCTCCGTCACCACGTGACTGTCATTTCCTTGTGTGTTTCTCTGCTTTTCTTATAAGGACACCAGCCATGTTGAATTAAGGGCCTGTGCTCCTCCAGCATGGCCTCATCTTAACTGATTCCAACTGCAAGGACCCTACTCCAAAGAAGGTCACATCCTGAGGGAGTAGGGATTCGGACTTCAGCATATCATTTGGGGGGGACATAATTTAACCCGTAACACACACCTACAGAACTAACTTTTTTGAAACCAAGTGTCTGATCTTGTGTAAATGATGTCTGTGTCTTGAGATAAAATTCCAGTGACTACATCATACATACAGAGATTCAAAAACTGCTCTATCCTGAATAAATTGGATGAAAAGACAATATTCTCTGAAGGAAATGTTGTAGATGACTCAACAAAGTAGCTCCATTTGATGATGACACTAATATTAAAAATCCATTTGAATGTGAATAAAATTATTTCCTAATATGGGTGAGGTTGAAAAAGCACATGTTCTAGATTATTAATATTCTATGTTAAATATTCAGGATCCCTTCATTTACAATATACATTGACGCGATATTTCACTTGAAAAAAGGATTCTAACTTTTTTTAAGTGTGAGAATAATCCCAGACTCTTGGCTTTGGGTCTTAGTGTATAGTTTCTTCCCCTTCTACCTAATTTTTACTTTTTACTTACTATATGTACACAAATACTGTGCTAGGTACAAAGGAAACAGTCATGAATAAAACAGACATGCTCCCTGCGCCTATGGAGTCCTCCATTATATTTATTGAAAATTACCTTTAATTCTGTTAAAAGTGAATAAATTAACACATTAAGGGCAATGAGGGAGAAATAAGAAGAAGAGATTATGAAAAGAAGGGACAATTCAAGAAGGGATTGTTGATAAATGATAATTCACATCCCCAAGTTGTTAACCTTTAAAAATCAATGTTTTGTTTCCTCATGTCTACCCTATACAGAGATGGACTAGAATAAGAAAAAGAAAACAAAGGAAGACTGTACTTTCAATGAAACCATTAAAAGAAACTCCAAAGCCATGGGTATGCACACAGAGTCCATGGTTTTGGGTCCTGGAATTCATGGCTTGTCCATCTGATGGCTCCCTGGGCATATCCACAATTTTTTCTCATTTTCTTCCCCATCTACTACCATGATCTGCTCTTCCACTCTTCTCCTTGACAGCAATGGCACCACCACCCAGTCGGTTACTCAAACAAACCAATCTTGACTCCTTCCTCTCCATCCCGCCTCTCAAATTAATCTCCAAGACTTGCCAGTTCTCCCTCTTTCCTATCTTTGGAACCCATGCACTCACTTCCATCACTACTGCTGCCACCCTGGTATTAAAAATGAAGGTTCACATTTAGGGCACACTTTGCTTATCTCAAGCACAATTCAAGTTTTTTATTTGTACTAACGGTTTTAAATCTGACAACTTTATGTGGTAGGCACACTTATTATCCTGATTCTAAAGATGAGGATGTGAAAGCACATAGACATTAAGTAGTGTTTTCTAGGTCACACTGTGAAAAATGACTGAGGCTGGACTCAAACCACAGATGACTGCCTTCTGAGCCCACGTGCATGCTTAATGGCAGTCCTACACAACCCAGCAAGCCTACCGTTCTTCCTTAAAAGTTGGCTTCCCTCTATCAGAGCTGAGTATTTTATTCCTTCCCCCTCCTTACTCCTTTCCTCCCTCTCTACTCCCAGCTGATGACCTTGCCTTCCTAGAGAAAGTAGAAGCCACCCAATCTGTAACTGGTATTCGTCAGTACCCATCTTTTCTATTGCCCCAGTTATAATGGAAAAAGTCTCTTTTCTTGCTCTTATAAAACACAAATTTTTAACCTGGGGTCCACAGACTCATGAGGAGTTCATGGAGAGAATTCTGAAGTTTTGTTAACTTAGATGGGAAAAATATTACATCTCCATTTTCACTAATCCAACAAACCACTATAGTATTAACAAGACATTTACCTCAATCAGGAAAAGAAATCACAATGATGTTTTGATATTAAACTACAGTGTTGCAGATATCTCCAAAAAGCATTTATACTTCATCACAATTTCAAAATTACAGCAGTTATTAGACCCACTGTTAATACAGTAGCTGACAACCAATACATTCCCATACATATTACAACATGATAAACTTATCTCGTTTTACCTTCTGCTATTTTACTATCGATCTGCCCCCACCCCCAAGCTCCAGATTCATACAGTCAACTGCCTCCTATCAGCTACAGTTGAGTGTCTGATAAATATCTCAAAGTTAATATATCTGAAACAGAGTTCTAGATTTTCTTCCCCAAACCTGTTGCTCCCTTAGTCACCCATATCTCAGGAGATGACTTCATCATCCACTCAGTAGCTTACAACAAAACTTATGAGTTCTGCATTCCTTCCTCCCTTTCTCTCAACCCTGTAATACCTAGTTCTGCAAGTTACACCTGCCAACCTCTCAGTCCACCCCCTGGCAGCCTGCTCTGGCCCTGATCCCTCCACTCAGGCTCACGGGACTTCTGTCCCTGAACACTCCAGGTGTGCTCTCCTTTTGAGATCCTTGCATTCACTACTGCTTCCCTTCGCCTCTCCCGGTTCTTATGTGGCTTTCATTTCCTTACCCTCTGGGCCTCTCTGTTCAAATGTCATCTACAGCATATTTTCCGACCTGTAACTCATGCTTCCATCCTTCCTGCTTGTTTCTTGGGTGTCTCCCCCACTAGAAAGTGAGCTCCCTGGGGGCTAGGATCTTGTCTGTCTCATTCATTGACCACACAAACAGATCAATAAAAACATATTGAATGAATAAATGCTTAACCAACCATTTAATATGTGGTTCTTTTGAAGAGTAATTAAAATAATGCCAGTTCATTTCTTAGAACTATCTCACCTCATAGGAAGTGCTCAATCAGTTTACCCCCCGTGAAGCCTTCACTTTCTCATACCACCACCACTGCGGAGATGATTCAAGGTTGGTCTGACAAATGCGTTCTCCTGATGACACAAATATAAAGCTGGAATTCAGTTTAAGTCACAGAAAAGGACACTGCCTACACAAATAGAAATGCCTTTCAGGAAAAAAGAATTAAATGCAGGGTCTATTTATTAAAATAAATGCCAAGCCAGGCATGATAACTCATGCCTGTAATCCTAGCACTTTGGGAAGACAATGTGGGAGGATTTCTTGAGGCCAGGAGTTTGAGACCAGCCTGGGCAACACAGCAAGATCCCATTTCTACAAAAATTTTTTAAAAATTAGCAAGGTGTGGTGACACGTGCCTATAGTCCCAGCTTCTCAGGAGGCTGAGGTGGGAGGATCACGTGAGCCCAGGAGTTTGAGATTGCAGTGAGCTATGCTCGTACCACCACACTCCAGCCTGCGTGACAGAGCAAGACTCTATCTCTAAATAAAGAAATGGATTAATTAATTAAAATAAATGTAAGCCAGGAAGAGTATAGATTTTGGAGGGAGGTGGTCCTGCCTGAGGTCAAGTCCCTATTCCATTCCTTCTAGCATTGTATGTTGGCAATTTATTCAATGTGACTGAGCCTCAATGTCCTTAGCTGCATGCAGGGTAACGTTTTCTACCTCACAGGCTGTGACAGCTAAGTGAGATAACAGACTTGGAGTATTGGACACATAGCAGACTCTCTCTATGGTATGATTTTCATTTGCCAATATAGCAAATCCCCTAAAAAAAAACAAGCACTTAAGAGTTGCAAGGAACCTATGGAGCTCCCAATTCATCTTTTTTTATGGTATTTAATGTCAGACATGATGAAGATATTTTTTAATCCATACACTTCACAGAATGGGTTGTGCAAACAAGGAGAATTTACCAAGTATTTTTTTATGCCGTAAAAAAATTTTTTTTCTTTCTTGCCAGCATCACATTTGAATGAATCCTTTCCCTAGCAATCATGCTGACTTGGATTCATATCTGTATTCAGCTTAGACTCCCACTGTTCTTTAGGGGTAATTTTCAAATCTTTCTACACAAGTCGACATGCAGTTCCCATTGATAAATAACAGCCTCGGTGCTTTTACCTCCTGCACACTATTTTGACAGATCACCACCCTGAAGAAATTTTTGTGTTTAAGAAAAGTAATTTGTCTAAAGGAAGAGGGTATTTTCAAACCACACTTCTAAAAAATGTCAAATAACAGGAATAAAGGAAGAAATGAGCTTTTGGAGTAAAAGAGATAGCATCTGGATAAAAGAGATCTCAATATAAAAAGAATAAAAAGATCAAGAGATGATAACATAAAAAAGAAAATAGGAATCTAAACATTTATTAGAAGTGGAAAATGAAAGCGTAACGGCATTTTTATCCAGTTGTTTCAATGACATGAAAATGTTAATGAAACAGGAAAAGCGATGTTTCAAACCAGTGGCTTCACCCTTTGAACAACTCTTTTTTTAGAATTTCAGGATAATGAGAACCAATTGCTGGAGTTAAATACACAGACACACATCCCTCATTGTAGGTGATTTTCCATTAGTAATTTTAATAAAAATTATTACAACTTCAAATTAATATAGATAAGAGGTCAAGTTATAGTCTAAAGTCTAACTGTATCAAAATTACTATGACATTCTGTTCAGTGAAGTACCAAATTAATTTTCTGGTGCTCAAAGGTAAAAACCATAAGCCCCACCACAATTATTCCTACACAATTTTGACCTATAGCCTCTTTTTTTTCCTCAATAATAGAAGTTTGTTAAAGAACCCTAAACAGCTGTTGATTTTAAAAGGGAGTTTCTTATTGACCAAAGCCCTTGAAACCAGTTTCTTAATTAAATGGGAATCCTTTCCCCCCAGAACTTATTACTTAGCACCCCTTGGTAGTTTATGTGAATGTATTCTGAAGTCTCTCACTTTTTAAAAAATCATTTGCCATTCTACTTCTCAGTGTTTGGTTCTGTTGTGAATAGTGTTCCATATTCCATCTCCCTGCCCTAAAGAATAAATTACCTTTTCTATTAGAAACACCTTCACATGGGCAATAAGCTAGGACTTTCATTCCAAGCAATCCACTCCTGTGCTGTTTAAGTCTTCATGCTCTAGTTTTGTTTATCCATATGAAGGCTTTTACTAATCAAGCTCTTTTTTTTGGCTTGGTGGTTAGTTATAGAAAAGAGGTTAACTTGAGCAAAGACTATTTAAATAAAGGGATTTGTTCTGTGAAGTTTGGATTAGGTCAAGGGGTCGCACTTGGGAATCTGGAGGGCCACATGTGGCTTTGAGGCCACAGGTTCCCCACTCTACCAGCCCCAACAATGCCAGCACTGAGTGCTGGACATTGATGTCAGCACCTCTGCTCCTGGAGCCCCTGGAAATTGCACCTACCACTGCTGCCGCCAGAAAGAATCTTTCACTTCACCTGCTTCTTTGGATCACTAGGTTCTGATCAGAAGTCTGAGGCAGGTGAGCCTAATTGACTGAGTCTAGGTTCCGTGCCTGAGCACTAGCAGTAAGGAAGACTAAGAAGTGAGTAGCCTGACCCCTTTAGCTCCTCAATAGTGAGAAGTTGGGCTCTAATTTGCACCAAGATTCTCATGGTGAAAAATCTCCTCCTAAGAAGAAAAAGACATCACTTTGTTCATCACCATATCTCAAGCATTTAGTACAAAACCTAGCACTAAGTAGTTGTTTAATTAATATATGTGAAATGAACAAATGAAGGTATGATCCATTTGTCTCCGGGAAGGGCAGATGGAAAAGCAGGAAAGCATTATCAAGAGCTGATAACACTATCGACATGAGCAAACAGGGAAACCACACTCGTGTGGAAGATCTGCATAGTGGATGAGTTCGAATGGAGCCCCTACCCCAGAAGGTGAAGCTGAAACTGACACGGCTAGGAGTAGGCTGCTGCCTTACTTCCTGGCCATGTTATTTCCCCCGGGGTTCCAGATCTTCCCCCACCCCTGCCCACAGCAAGAAGAGAAATCGAAAGAGCTCCAACCCCCTACTACTGCTGACTACAACTGTTGCCAACTAGGTCAGAAACTCATTTGAAAGCATGGAAAGCAGTGAGTGCCTGCTGAATGCTAAAGCTTTTACAGACATTACCTCATGCAATCAGAACTTCCACCCCACGAAGTAACTACTATTTGTAGCTCCATTTTACAGATGAGAAGAGCTAAGGCTTAGGGAGCTCGGCTTGCCCGAGGTTATATAACTAGGGATTGGCAGAATCTGGCTTTGGACCATGTCTTACTGTCTCCACATCCATCCTCTTAAGCCCCACACAACACTATGCAACGGAAACTTAAACTGCAAAAATAGGTCATTGAGGAAGACATTTGTGTTACGGACTTACTAGCTTCACTGTCAACTTATCTCATTACTTCTTATTTCACATTTTTACAGGAGAAATCAGCCTACACTTGAGCTGGCTCCAGTGAGGGAAATGGAGGGCTGAGCTTGATGCTCTCCAAGGTTCTGAAAACCAATGTTTGAAATTTAAAATTTAACTGCCAGAGTAAAGGTAGCATCATTTTATATTGGCTCTTCAATTTTTACACCCAGGGCAAAGCCATCTGTGAGCGGATGAAAATGAAATAATTATGAAATTTAGGCAGTTCTTAAGAAACTAAGTTTTCAACACACCCACATCCATTCACTAAAATTAAGGGATATGAACTCTGAAAACAGACTTCCTTTATACATTTTTGGCTTTCCTCCACAGTTATGAAAGTCAATCCATGCCAGTAATGTCTAAAATCACGATGGGAATTTTTTGAGTGCCGCAGCAAATATATTCTCCTAGATACGCATCATCAGTCCTGGAACACGGCTGAGGCCAGAGTAAGCATCTGGAACCGGGGTACCTGGTGGCACAGGCGAGAAACAGCCAGTGGGGTGAGGATCGGAATCAGAATTGGCAGGCAGAAAGTCTGGAATAAGAAGAGAAATCAAAAGGAAAGGAGAGGAGTAAAGATGTGAAATAAAGAGAAAAAACTGGAAGTTTGAAGAGGGGGCAGTCAGAAAGGAGACGAGGCTGTGGCCAGTGGCAAGTTGTGGCTTTCAATTCATGGGGAGAAAGGTATCATCTGCTGTCTCTTTACTCCTAATACCAACTGCAGCGATGCTGTTTCTTTCCAAGTCTTTCTACATAGCTCCACGGGGGTTGACATTGGGCTGGACTGACATCTGCTGCTACTTCTTGCTGCATTCTGTGCTATTTGGAGATATTCTATTGATATCATCCTTCTTTGACCTTGCTTCACTCTTCCCCCTCCCAACTCTCCTTCCGCTGTCCTATTTGTAGCAACCGCTTTAGTCCACTAACAAGGGCTCTTTTATCTATTGGTCCTGCTCTTGCTTTTGTTTCTCTTGTCTATTTGGAGTTAGCTTCTTGATAGAAAGCCAACACGAATTCTCCCTTGTCCTTGAGAAACTGTTGAACATAGCCGGCTTGCTAGAACCAGCAGGTAAAAGTATAAGCTAATTGTATATTTCACAGTCGTCTATTTAGCAGCCTTAAACTTTAGCTACGCAAATAACCATTTTCCTCTGCAGAAATTGTCATCCTGCCCTTATAATCACAATCCCAAGCCACTGAGTTGCAGAGACCACATGTGTTTAGAATAAATAAATAAAAAGAACTGAGCTCCTGTCATATGGATTCTGGCTTAGGCTGTTTGGATCCTGCCATTGCAGCTGAAGATGGCTTGCTGCTTACAGAATACTAATTGCTATTACTATTCTGAACTGATCTCTCTTGTGAAAGAAAAAATATGAGAGAAAAGCTTATTTTGGGTTGGTCACTCAAAATCATAAGCTGAGTTGGGAGAAATTCTGTGTACCACTAATGTATATATACACGCAAATGTAAATATACATGTATATATGTACACGCACACACACACACATACACATGCACGCATATCTCCGGAATTTTTCTGAGAGGTTTTTGGGTTTGTACCAAGTCAGAAGTATCACGACTTTCTAGTTATCATTTAAGTTTTGTGTGCTAACTTTGTCACAGCAGTCTGTCAACATTATTGACTGAGGGCTCATGGGTACACAGAACTGTAGAAGCTGATCTTATTGTTTGTCTGACTCTATTTAGATAGAACAAATTGACCTTACAAGTCTGTTTACCAGGGATTCACCATTGATCATGTATTCTTTGATACACCTTCTCTTTAGTGGATTTAACATCAGATGTTGGCAAACTTGAAGGGAAGAGGAAAAATATTAATTCTTGTACGTGGAGAGCAGTTTTTTTTTTCCTGGCTTGAGGGGAAAGCTATGGATTTGGAATCGGGAGACACAAGATTGGACCTTGGCCCTACTATTTGCACGTTTCTGGAGCATAAGCAAGCCTCGTACTATTTTTGAGCTCTAGTTTACCACGTCCAAAATAAAGGTAAAAACACTGCCCTTTATCATAGGATTATCATAAGGCTTAAGTGAGACTATAATGTGAACTAGCTTTGTAAACTGTAGAATACTCTACAATGTAAGGGATTAGTAACTATGATAATAATTTAACACAATAGCTATGAAATGGCATGAGCTGTCAGGATTAAAGGTAGCAGTTCAGAAGATGGCCACTTTAAATTATTGTCAACCTGTTAATATTTTCCCAAGCACCAGTTAATACTATTATAATAAATTCCAAATATGCTTCAAGTTTGCCCTGCTGGGAATTCATTCCAATGGATGAATTGTTCAAAACTGAAAAATCATTAGAAAGGGAAGGAAGGAATTTGATTCAACAAAAATCTTTTCATTTTAACAATATTCTTTACAATGCACATACTATAAAGGGGATCATTAGAATCGTCTAGAATATATCTGAAAAAGCCTCACAGAAAAATGAAACAGTTTTGCATATTTTCTGGTTAATTACTTCCTCTCAGGTACCAAATTTGTAATAGAACCATGAGCGGGATTTCTAGAGAGAGACATCCGTGATGAAGAGAGAACATTCGAATGTTCTAAGAGACATTAAAGAGCATTTTGAAGCCAGGCGCCCTCGCTCACACCTGTAATCCTAGCTCTCCGGGAGGCCAAGGTGGGTGGATTGCTCAAGGTCAGGAGTTCAAAACCAGCCTGACAAGAGTGAGACCCTGTCTCTACTAAAAATACAGAGAAATTAATTGGCCAACTAAAAATATAGAGAAAAAATCAGCCAGGCATGGTGACGCATGCCTGTAGTCCCAGCTACTCTGGAGGCTGAGGCAGAAGGATTACTTGAGCCCAGGAGTTTGAGGTTGCTGTGAGCTAGGCTGATGCCACAGCACTCTAGCCCCAGGCTACCGAATGAGACTCTGTCTCAAGAAAAACAAAGAGCATTTTGAGAGCATTCTCTTCATATGCACGCTCTCCAGGAGATGGCATATTCCCTGTTCCTGGCAAAGCCTAAACCAATTTACCAGAACTGAGGAGGGGAATCAAATGCTAAATAGAGATTTGAGCTAGAACAGTAGTTCCCAACCTTTCCCCCCAATTTTAGGGCTCCCAACTTTTCCTCCCAAGTTAAAAAAAAATCAACCATAATCATAATCTCATTTTTAAAAAATGAAGTGGGTTATCTTAACACCAAAAAAATGGGATAGCTCTAATCTCAGGATCCAGAACAGTCCTGCAATACAGTCCCTGACTTCACGATGGTTCTTTTACAATGATGGGGAAGTGATACCCATTCAGTAGAAATCTTACTTTGAATCCCCATACAACAATTCTGTTTTTCACTTTCTGTATAGTTTTCAGTAAATTGCAGGAGTTATTCAACACTTTAGTATAAAACAGGCTTTGTGTTAGATGATTTTGTCCAACTGTAAGCTAATGTAACTGCCCTGAGCATGTTTAAGACAGACTAGGCTACCTTATAACATTCAGTTGGCTGGGTGTGTATTAAATGCATTTTCAACTTAAAATATTTTCAACTTACAATGGGTTTATCAGGATGGAAACCATCACAAGTCATGGAGCATCTGCATAACCATTTAGCTTACTGAAGAACTGACTGCATTGTCTTTACGAGTTCTCATTTTACTCTGAATTGAAAAACTTCCTCTGGGGCCAGCACCAATTACTGTTGGGCCGATACTACTTGGTAGTGGTCTAGAAGACCTTTCAACCTAGAGATACTATGATCATGTAAACACATTTAAATGAAATTATTTATTATTCTCCCAGCACAAAATAGTGCTTTTCAGTTAGAGTATATGAGCAGCTATTTGTAAGGTTATGGATAATTTCAAATTGTGAGAGCCTCTGCTATCATTTAGAGTTTTGATGAAAAATGGTTTGATTCTTTTATCACTTAACTCTGACCATTCATGGTCATACAACGAATGCACTCAAATAGCTGACAGAAAAAAATAGGAAAAGAAAATAAACTAGGGAAAAAATCTGTTGCAGATTTTCTCTATTGATAAAATTGCACAAGCTGTTCAGATATTGTAACGAGGGCATTTGACATTTTCCCCCAGGTGCAAGGAGGTGGCAGGTTCAATTTCTCAGGATGTTGCGCCAGTGATTTGCATTGCTCTTTGCCGGGGGTGTGGGATTCATCTGCTGTTTTCTATTTCTATTAGCTGCGAGTTTCTCTGCATTCAAGTTCCATCTGAGAACCCGACTAAACTTAGCTCATTCCAGAGAGAACAGCTCGCACCGGGAAGGTGTCACTGGGGAAAGGCTCATGACCTAGGTGTCTAACAAATACAAGCTCTGTAGAGTTATCATTATGAAAGAGAAAAAATGTATTAAAATATCTGACTTTGTTTTTTCTTACCATCATCAGATATTTAATAAGCTGAACCATTTTAATATGGAAGTACAAAAATCAGTATACATTGTTTCTTCACAGAACAAATAACTTTTTTTAAAAACAACTGAGGTATTTGCTATGAACAGAATGAACAAGATTATGGCTGTGTAATAATATTTTGAAACTTTATAAATGTGCTACACATAGCATTTTCATTCAGTGTTTCAAGCATTCTCTACCCAGTAAAGTGGTTGAAATGCATAATAATTGTTTCTGTCTAAATCAGGTTTCCTTTTTTAAAGCTCCTGGAGGGACTGAGTTGATTTCTTGTCCTTATTTTCTCCCTGTATCACAGCCTATCCTGAACATCAGCAAATGTAGGATAATGAGTTCAGGGAAAATTAACCCATACTACACTAGTGCTCACACATTCATTTTCTCTTTTATTTTATGAGCATTTACTGAATGTCTGCCCCATTCAAGGTACTATGCTAAATTCTGGAATTATCAAGATGGAAAAAAGATTTCACAGTGTGATGGAATCTGAATTAGCATGTTATCAACCCAAAAGTGATTGGGCCAGGATTTTCTCAAAATCAAAAGGTTGTGTTTTTTTTTTAAACCACAATCTACAGTAGGAAACTTTATAGTCCTAACCCAGTACTCACACACATACCTTCATGTACACATACATGTACAAACACCCAACTGAAACAAAATATTCACAAAGCAAACTTACTCTTTATATATATATATGTATATATATATATATACATATATATATATATATATATATATATATATATATATATATATATATATATATGTAAGAGATGATGTCTTTATCTGTTGCCCAGGCTGGAGGGCAAAGGTACAATCACAGCTCACTGCAACCTCAAACTCCTGGGCTCAAGCGATCCTCCTGCCTCAGCCACCTGAGTAGCTAGGACTACAGGCATATAACACCAGACGTGCTAATTTTTTGGTAGAAGTGGGGTTTTGCTATGTTACGTAGGCTGGTTCCTGGCCTCCACCCATCCTCCTGCCTCGGCCTCCCAAAGTGCTGTGATTACAGATGTGAGCCACTGTGCCTGGCCCAAACTTAGTCTTTCTACATGTGATACATGGCAATATTTTCTGTTCTATTTCATTTAAGTTTTTTAAAGACTACATGGCCCACTACATTGATTTCACAGCTTATTACTGGGTCACAATTTGCAATTTGAAAAATAGTGGTCTGGAAATCTTTTGCCATAGCTCAGTATGAAGCTAAATATATCCAAAAAATTGTCAAGAAGGATATTGGAAATGAAAACAAAAGACATTACTAAGCCAACAGTAGAGTACTTAAGCTGATTTACCTTACGATATCACCCACAGAAAAATATGGGACATTCTTTGACCTGGAAGTGGTAAGCTTAGATCTACTTAAGTACCACTTTATAAAGGGCAGTAAATTTAAGGCCTTTATTATGTAGCAAGTGGTGGTAAATATGGTAAAAAAAAAAAAAAAAAAAAAGGATAGATAAAATTACTTGAATTTAATCTCTTGTTCTACTTCCATCCACCACATTTGCATACTGCATCTTTTACAGTCTGGAGAGAAGATGAAGGTGGTGGAAATGTATGATATAGTTAGAAGTTTTCAGACATACATCCAAATCTTGCAAAAAGCAGCAGAGGAAAATCTGAGACATAAATATGCTAATTATTAAATACATTCAGGGACTACTTCAAAACTTACCTCAAATGTCTAAGCTATTCGTGCTTTAACTGTGTCATATTTTTCTCATATGTAATGTCTGCTTACTCTCTCTCAGTCTCCTTTGGATTATCTACCTTGGCTTCTTCCCCAGATTGCCTTTCTTTTCATTTCCCGTATTCTCTGTAGGTGATGCACGCATTCTCTTGCTCTGAACTTTCTCCCGAATGCTGAAGACTGTAGGGCCCACCCAGATCTCCTTCAGTCCCATTAACCAGCTCAGGGCTGAGGATCTCTCCGGCCATCCTTGTGTCCAAACCAGAAGGACTGAGGCTGAGTCACTGATGGCCTGAGATCAGTCAGTGGCAGGCAGTTCATTTCAGAGGATCATTCTGGAAAATTGGAAAATAATTAATTTAAGATTTAGATCTTTTTTGTCTCAATTATTAAATTAATGGAAGCTCCTTGAAGAAACTTTATGGACTATAGAAAGAGAGAAAATAAAATCCTATTGTGCCTATCAGCCTGGGTGGGGAGGGTCCTACAGATACCAAAAAACAAACATATCCAAAGCCAAACTGCCCTGTTCCCCCAGGGTAAATCAGCTGCTTCTTTTCCAATGCTTCCTTACTCACTACACGTTACTAGATGGAACCAGCTCATGTTTTCTCAGGTCTCAAAGCCCATCAATCCAGCCCCCAAATTCTGCCAATTCTACCTCCTCAATACATGCTTTAACTCACCCCTTCTTCTTCACACACATTGCGGCAGGCGACGTGCCGGCCACACCCACCGCCCCCTTCCTAAGGGGTTCTTAGGCCAAATGGCTTGTGTTTTACCCAAGCCCACACCTGGCCACTGATGATGAAAGAATCATCAGACCCAATGGCAGCTGATAGATCACAGGCTTGGGAGGAGAACCAGCATCAGAGACCTGCCCCAAAAGGGGTAGGGGCGGGGGTTCTCTACTCTGGGTTAAAAGTGGCTGCCAATCCATTCCTCCCTCTTGGGGAGGGAAGACACACAAAGAGGCTGCAAGGAGCAGCTGCGCCATCTCGGTGTGGGGAGGCCCCAGGGACTGCCTAAAGCCCAATAAGCAACAGCACAGCACAGGGGCTAGAGCAGAGCAGAACCAGGAGCAATGAAGTTCCCATCTTTATGAGGTCTGGCTGTGCCGTGGTTGACATGGTTACATGTCTTCCCTCCTCTCCCCATGACTCCTTTCAGTCATCCCCCATGAACCAAGCAAGTCTCCATTGCTTAAAACTCTAAAGAGCCTTACACTACTCACCTTTTCCAATCCATCTCCTGCATGGTTGCAAATGATTCTCCAAAATACAAACGTGGGAAGCCTTCCTGCCTCACGATTCTTTAAAGCTTCTCCTTCTCTATAGGACAAAAATCTCAAGTTCTGAGCATGTGATGCTGTCGGGCCCTCCCTTTTCTCCCTGGGCCTCAGCCTCTTCCTGCACACCAGCCCAGCTGAACTCTAGCCTGTGCCGTGCTCTCCGCCATGCCGGACTCATGCACCCTTCCCTCTGCCTCAATCCCACCCTCCTGCCCCCCACCCCCGACAAACTTAGTCATTTGTCCAGTTTCGGCTCCCATACTCTTCCCTCAATAACACCTTTCCTGTCTTCCAGACAGTGCCTTCTACAAACTTCCAGGGGAGCCATCATCATGGGCATCATAAACCTTCCCAAGTCTGCATCTCGTCTGTCTCTAGCTAGAATGGGAAGGCAGATCTTTTCTTGGCAATTCCTAGCAGTCTTTAATTCTTTCCCCTGTTACGCAGATGCTTACTGGACACCTTGAAGACACAACTGCAAGCGGGGCGGGCGCAGCCCCGGCCTTCCCGGAGCGCGGCGGCGGGCGCTCGGCAGTGGACGCCATGACGGGCTGGGCTCACGGCCCAGGCCACGGCTCCGTGGGGGAGGCCCGCAGGGCCCTGCGGGAGAGAGTTCTGATGAGAGGAGGAAAGGACAAAAGGTCAAGGAAGATGTTAGCAGGAAAACAAAAACAAAACCCAGCATATATAAAGCCATTAAGGCAAGAGCAAGCTCGGTGTGTGGACAGGAAAGTAAGTTCCGCGCAGCTTCCGGTGCCGGCGGCGCGCGGCGGGCTGGAGCCGGAAGGGCGGGCGGCGGCGACCCACTTGGCACTTGTTCTAGGGTCAGCGAAGGCTTTGAGGCAGGGGGTCAGATTTTATTGTAAGTGATCTACTAGCTCCTCAGGACCAGTTAGAGGAGAGGCGAGGAGGTGAGTTAAAGGCGCGTCAGTGCGAACAGCCTAGGTCAGCGCCGGCGGGCAGCGGCGCCTGGAACCGGGAGACGCGGGGTTGAATGGCCAGGACTTGGTGACTGATTGGGGTAGGTGTGGGGGCTTTCGATCCTGTCAGCTGGGCTGCGCCGAGCTACCTGTGCTAGAATTCCCCTCCCGTTCCCCGTGGGGCGAGCCACGAGGCAGAGTCTCGCGGGAGACTTGGAGGACGGCGGGAAGCAACCGCCATTGCACAGCCCGCGCCCTCGTGGGTGCGAGGCAGCAGCCAGGCCTGCGAGTGCGCCGTCCTCCCTGGCCCTCCGGCCGCTCCTCCCGCTGCCGGGGGTGGCAGCGCTCTGGCCTGGGCAGGGCACCCACAGCACCACCGTCAGAGGCAACAGCACCTGACACGGGTTTCGTTCTGTCCTGGGGACTCCAGCTCTTGCTCACGGGTTCCAAACTATTCCCATTCTCTCTCTCTCTTTTTCTTTCTTTCTTTCCTTTCTCTTTCCTCCTCCTTCTTCTTTTTTTTCTTTTTACAGGGTCTCACTCTATCACTAGAGTGCAGTGGTGTCGTTGTGACTTACTACAACCTCAAACTCCTGGGCTCAATCCGTCCTCCTGCCTCAGCCTCCTGAGTAGCTGGGACGCTATAGGCACGCAAGTCTCACTCTTGCTCAGGCTGTTCTTGAACTCCTGGCCTGACCTCAGAAAGTGCTAGGATTACAGGTGTGAGCCACCTCACCTGGCCTTCTTTACCTTCACCTTTCCTCCTTGACTGCCCATCCAGAGGACTTGAAGCTCCAAACACAAAGAGAATAGCGTTTCAGAGGCTATATAACCATAATACTATGTAAGATCAAATCCCTGTAACAAGTCCGTCAGTATGTGTGTGTGTATGTATGTCTGTCTACTTAATATCTACCTATAGATTACGATATATGTAATATAGGCATATACACAGATCTTCTGAGGGTTCTGTTCTCTGATCGAGCTCTGGCTAATACAGTAGGGTTGATAGAGAAATGGGCCTCAAGAATGATTTCTTGGTTTCAGACTTGGGCAACTGGGTGGATGGTGATATTATTCTGAGAAATAGGAATCCTGGGTGAACAATAGGTTTGAGGGAAAGATGAAAAATTCAAGTTCTAGACATGTCAAGTTCAAGGTAGATGCAAGACCTTCAACAGGTGATCAAACAAGCCAGGTCTGAGTTTGACACATAAGCAAACAACAGCAAACACATCCAGTTGCAATAACAGAATTTCTAAATAAAAAGAACCCAACCACAAGCCTCCTTAGTACATTTTAAGAATCCTGTACAATAAAACTCTAAAGCATCAGGTTTTCTTCTTGTTCGAAATATAGTAAACATTAAAAAATGTTAAATAGTTAGGAAGCAAATTTAGTGTTTTAGAGCATAATAATAGCATGTTGTTTGTGAGTTGCTTATGGATAACCCAACTTTCTAATAGTTTTCATAAATTGCCAGAACACAAATTTTATTAAACCTATACAATTATATCAACTTTTACATTTGATAAAGGTAATATTTTCCTCTCTAGCTCCAATTAGACCTTTGGTATTCTCATTGTATTTCCCCTACCACTTTCCCAGATAAAGAGAACACAAGAATCTGTTTTTACAAATGTTCTCTGAAGATCCCTCCCAAAGAGAGATGCTCTTTTTTTTTTTTTTTTTTTGAGACAGAGTCTCACTTTCTTGCCCAGGCTAGAGTGAGTGCCGTGGCGTCAGCCTGGCTCACAGCAACCTCAAACTCCTGGGCTCAAGCGATCCTCCTGCCTCAGCCTCCCGAGTAGCTGGGACTACAGGCATGCGCCACCATGCCCGGCTAATTTTTTTTGTATATATATTTTTAGTTGGTCAATTAATTTCTTTCTATATTTTGGTAGAGACGGGGTCTTGCTCAGGCTGGTTTTGAACTCCTGACCTCGAGCAATCCGCCCGCCTTGGCCTCCCAGAGTGCTAGGATTACAGGCGTGAGCCACCACGCCCGGCCGAGAGATGCTCTTGACAATGAAAAATGGAGGAAGGAGAGAAGGAGAATGTGTCTCGACTTCAGTTATACTCACTAACCTATTTTTCCCCCATTAAAATTTATTTGCTTTTTAAATTGGCAAATAAAAACCACATATGTTTACAGTGTATAACATGGTATTTTCTGTATGTACACATTGTGGAATGATTGCATCAAGCTAATTAACATATCCATCACCTCATATACTTATCTTTTGTGTGGTGAGAACATTTAAAATCTCCTTTAGCAATTTTGAAGTATACAGTATATTATTATTAACTAGAGTCACCATGCTGTACAATAGATGCCCAGAACTTATTCTTCTATTTAACTGAAACGTTGTACCCTTCGACCAACATCTCCCTGTTCCCCACACCCACTAACATATTTTTGTCCTGTATGTCTGATGCCATTCTTTTTTTTCATTGGTTGTGCCTTGAATTCTTTTAGATCTCAGGCCTTTGGTTTCTGGTGCTCCTTTTTCAAATGACAACAATAGCTTAACAACCTGTCCAAATTATTACATCTTTCAAAATGTGCTTGTTATTCTAAGGGGAAAATATATGCTTGGAGAGCCTGTCTTATTACAAAAATGCTCTCAAGATTTCCCTGACTGCTCTAAGTAAATAGTTGCATGGTTTGTATTTGCACATACCCAGTTTCAATGTAGGTTTCCAATATAAAAAGAACCCACCCAAAAAACACCTTCGATACATTTTTAAAATTCTATACAATAAAAATCTTAAGCCTTAGGTTTCCTTGTATAATCTTTTGTAGAGTGGAAGTATTATATGATCTCAGTATCCTTTGTAATAGATAATTAACTCTCACTGTTCTGCATGAGATAGGTCGGTATTCAGTTCTCATATTTTTCAGGGAAGAAGGAAGACACAGAAGTTATGTGATATGTGGTAACATAGTAAGCAGCTGTGTCAAAACTAGAATTTACAACTTTTAATTCTCAATACCCAGGGTATTCAAGCCATAGTCCTGCAAAGTCTGCTTTGCCAGCAATAAATGTCAACTATATTATATATCTGAATTGTAAAATAAAATCTACCATAGAATTCTGTTTACCATTTTAACTAGAAAAGTGAAAAATACAATCAAGGAGAACACAAATATTAAAACTGTAGATAATCATTTTACAAATTGGTAACAGCTTCATTAAACCAATAGAGCAGGTAAGGCAATTCTGTCTTTAATGACAACCCTCAGCTGTTTAACCATCTTAATAATCAATACCATGTTGAGACTTTCACCTAGCATTTATTTTAAGGGATGTCTTGTTTTGAACAATCATTTTAAATCCTAGTAAACTGAAGAATTAATTAGCAAGCACGGAGGCTCAGCAAACTAATGCTTTAGTCTGTCAAACCATCTGCTCAGGAGCACCCTCCTCAAATCTTGGCATTATTGAGGATGGGGGAGCATCGTACTTTTGATGCTTATGCTGGTAGACAAGTTGCTCCTTGATATTTAACCGTTCCATCTTAGAAGTACACAAAAAGAAACTTAGTCTCAGAAACAAGCTTGTAGAAGTTCTGCCTCCTTTTGTACTTATAGCTAGGACCATGGTAAAGCCAAGCTTTCTCTAAGAGCAAAGATCTTACCTCAAGACGGCTTATTACACAAATGAGTATTGTCCCTCTCAAAATAGGTGCTTTGGAGTTTCTGGTCTTAATCCAATAATCCTTCTATTCAGATCATTTGTAAAATTCCATTTTTGGCATTTTCATTTGCATGCGTGCAAAGTCTTTTGAGTATGTTTTTTTTTATCTCAAACAGTAGGGAAGAATCCTAACCTATTTAATCTATTTAATATTATTGGCTATTTCACATAAAAATGTTATGTAACTATAAACCAATGAGAAAGAATTTATTTTATTTTATTTTAGAGACAGAGTCTTGCTCTGTTGCCCAGACTGGAGTGCAGTAGTGGTGTGATCACAGTTTATCGCAACCTTGAACTTCTGAGCTCAAGCAGTCTTCCTGTCACAGCCTCCCAAGTAGCTAGGACGATAGGCACGCGCCACCACACCCGGCTATTTTCTTAATCCTTTTGTTTTTTTTTGGAGTGACAGGGTCTCACTCTGTTGCCAGGCTGGTCTCAAACTCCTGGGTTCAAGTGATCCTCCTGCCTCAGCCTTTCAAAGTTCTGGGATTACAGGCAGGAGCCACTGTGCCTGCCCTGGCTAAGAGAATTTAAACCGGGAATCAATCCTGGTATCTTATTTTCCCTGTGTGTTACAACTTTCCTTTGGCCACGGAGGTCAGCAGCCCTCCAAGTCTTCCTGGAAGGATAGTGCTTGGGCTATAATAAAAGATACTCCTGGTCTATGATATCTCAGAGCAGTAAACCCATTCCAGGCTGTTTTTCTCTAAAAATCTGATCAATACATCTGTGTCCCCAGGGGTAGAGAAAGAATAAACAGCGAGTCCTGATAAACCTTCTCCAGCATTGCTCATTTCCTCAAATGCTATACATGGAACACACTT